ATTCATATACATATAATATCTTTGTTTTTGAGAGATACTTTCACTGGGCATAGAATTCTAGGTTGAGAGATTGCTTTCCTTCAGTTCTTTAAAGATATTGCTACATTATCTTCTCACTTGCATTGTTTCCAACAAAACATCAGATGTCATCCTTATCTTCATTCCTCTGCCTCTGTGTAACATATCTTTTTTCTCTGGCTGCTTTTGAGATTTTTTTTTTCTTTTACTGTTAATTTTGAGTAATTTGATTATTATGACCTTATGTTGTTTTATTCATGGCTTGTGTGTGTGTGCATGCTTGGGGTTTGTTGAGATTCTTGGATCTATGAATTTATAGTTTTCATCAAGTTTGGAAAATTTTGGGCCATTATTTCTTCAAATATATTTTCTGTCCACCCCCGCTTTTCAGGGACTCCAATTACACATATATTGTTACTGAAAGTTTTGTCTTCGATCCTGATGCCAAGCCAAATAACAACAACAGAGTCTTGGGTGAAATAGGAAAGGCTTTACTTTGCCAGGCAGTAGGAGAAAAGCAAGGGCCAGTGCCCCAAAACTGCTTGCTCCCTGTTAAGAAAGGAGTAGGAGTTTATTTGGGTTTTAGGTAGGGGACGGGAGACTGGGGCCGTGGACTTCTTGGTCAGCATTTGCCCATAAGCCTGTGTCTGGGGCTGCTTCCAGAGGAGGAAACAAAATATTTCTCAGATGAGTGTCCTTGACTGTTTATCTCCATGGTAGAAGGTAGACTGTTATGTCAGGAAGCCGAGGAGTTGGTCCTGGGAAGCTTTGGTTTCTTGATATTCTCCGGACCTTAGTTTCTCTGTAAAAGAACTTCAATGTCCTGCAATTAGCCACAACTTTAGTGGGAGCCCAGTGTGAGGTCATCTGGACTTTAACAATTTGTATCTTCTATTTGGCTCTATAGCTCAGGGAGTCAGAGGTTAAAGAAACAATTATTTACACATGAGTGTAACTAAAGAACCAGGGAATTGGGAATGTGTGCCTTTAGTTTCAACCCATATATGCTGGGTTCACTGTAGGGGAAACAATATCAGGGCTGATATTAACTAAAAGCTGGTAACAATATTAAGCCATTACCACACCTCACTGATCCTCTTTATCTTCTTTTTCATTCTGTGTTTCATTTTGGATAGGTACTATTGCTATAATGTCTTCATATTCACTAATCTTTTCTTCTGCAATGTCTAATCTGCTCTTAATCCCATCCAATGTATCAGATTTCATCTCTAGAAGTTGGATTTTGGTCTTGTGATATCTTCCACCTCTCCACTTTACTGAGGTAAGACCCGTCTGAGTATTCTATCACATACCTCATGAATTATGATGTTTTCCTTTCCGGCTGTTGGGAACTGGTACTATTTCCAGCCCTGTGTGAGCACTGAGGGCTACTCCATCTAATCCTTTCAAGTTCTTTCCCAGGCCTGAGGTAGTTTTCTCCCACAAATAACTGGTCCCTATTCTGCTGAATGCTTGAGGGGAATCCCCTGTACCTGGAGACTTCTGTCTCTGTGCAGCTTTCTCCTTTGCAGTTTTTTGGCCTGTGAACTCTAGCCAGCTTGGTCTCTCCAGACTCTCAGCAACATCTTCTCAACTCAGAGATTCCACTGGGGTTTGCCTGAATCGCCCATCCCAGCACCACAGCCTGGAGACCCTCTCAATGCAGTGAGCTGGGGCAATCACAGGCTCATCTCTTTTCTTTCCCATCCCTCAGGGATGACTGTGCTTTGTCGCCTGATGGCCACTGTTTTGAAAAACGTTGTTTAATATATTTTGTTCATTTTTGTTTTTATTTCAGGTGAGACGATAAATCCAATCTTTGCTACTCTATCTTGGCCAGAAATCTTGTATGTTATTAATAATATTTTAGTTCTTAATTTGAGTGGTGGGTTCATTAGTATTCATTTGCTTATTGTGTGTCATAGCCAAATACACATATATATTACACATTCTGTCATTTGTATAAAATATTGCATAACATTTTTTAAGTTCTGAAAAGAAATAAAGATTTTTTTTCTCCCCCTGGGGTGGAACAAGGGCAAAAAAAAAAAAAAAAAGGAAGAGTTTGTGGCCAACCTCCTACTTCCCTACCTTCCTGAACCCTCTATCTGTTCTAGTCACCAACCCCCATCTTGACCAACTTCCTCCTGCTCTTGTCATGATGACTGTGAAGGTGTTTTCCTGACACATCAAGGTGGTCGAGGGAAGATGGTGCTAGCTTGGGGAACATGGACGATCAGGAGCTTTCACATGCTATGATCCAACAAACCATTGTGGCCTCCCCTGTTTATAGTACTAGATGAAGGCCTTTCAGGATAGTGCTGACTTACACATCAGACTGCCAAATATTGAGGGAGGAGTTCATGTGAAGAGTTTCTCTGTTTCAGATGATACCTATTTTTAGAATATAAGCTACTCAAATGTTTTAACACTTTCCCCCTCCCCCTCTGGCCTTTTCAGTTTGGCCAGAACCCCTTGCTGCTGTTGATACCGACCCTGATATCAGTTTCCCCACATTAAACCCAGCATATATGGGGTTAAAACCAAAACACTCATTCCCTGCTTACTCTCTGGCTTCCTGGCTCCAGAATCCACTATCCTCCATGGAGACAGGCACCATCAAGGACAAGCACCTGGATCATCTCCACCCCACAAAGAGATACAGGCTGGTGGGAAAGCTGCTGACCAGCAAGGGCATATGCTCCCCCTCCCCTATCTAAAACCCCTATCTAAAACTCCTTTTAGCTTTTTGGGGAGTTTGGGATTTCAGCGTTAGCTGCCCTCTCTCCTTACTCAGCGCTGTGCAAAAATAAAATTCCTGCTTTCTTTCACCACTACCGGTGTCAGAGATTGGCTTGCTGTTCCATAACACTGTGATGCAGGAACAAAATCAAAATGCAGTGATTTGCTATCTTGAGGATGATGGAAAATGTATGCAAAAGCAGACAGACTGAGATTTATAATGGTTTGATTAGTAAAAAGCTTAGGAAGGAACCTCAAGGGCACACAGGACAATTAGACAATGGGCTTAACGAGTATATTCACGATGACAAAAAAAAAGTGGGATTAAGGGAAGAGGAAATGGACAAAGTCATTCCACATTGAAACAATCTATAAAAGACAAATTATAACACCACCAGAAATTAACTGTAAAGACTAGATGATATAAATATAAAGTCACAGATGAGGATTAAATTTTTTTTAAGTTGATGAAATCACCTTGAGGGATGCAGGAACCAGAGAAAGATTTGATAGATGAAGCAGTAAGAATAAGAATAAAAAATCAATTGAATTTCTAATGAAACTAGAAATTGAACCAATGTGGAACTTTTTACAGTGAATGATAGTTGAAGAAAAACATCAGGTAAAGTTTACCTGAATCTCCTGAAAAACACTTCCAGCATTAGCAAATATATAAGGTAATATATTTCATCTGTTCAAGAGATGTTACAACAGCGTACAAAACGTGTTAAGTTAAATCGTGTTGTAGACAATTATACACAATTATTTACCTAAAATTTACTTGATATATTTCAATACTTCCTAAAATATATGGTTGTTAAGGGAAAATAAGATCACCAACTGCTTTTTACTCGTAAAGAGTGCAAAAATAAAATTAATTTTGGGTCATTTCTTTGTGAGATTTAAATTATCCTACCTTTTAAAAAGTATATCAAATAATTGTTCACAAATCATTTTTTATTGTAGAGAAGAGAACAATTTTAATTAAAACAGGCAACTAATACTTTGCATCTACCTTCGAGAAAAGTGTATTTGTGAAGTGATTTTAAAAGCATGAAGCCGATGAGTAAGATGGTATTATAAAATATCACCAATGTATGGAAATATAAATGTCACATATAGATGTAAATTCTCGTAACGGTTCTTGTGAGCATCATGATTTTCATTAGCCACTAAATACTGGAGACTATCCTGCCTTAGTTACAATGTTTGCTCCATTATCTCCTAGTTCTTTTTACTGGATTCAGACCTACATCAGGGGATGTTTGCTCAACATTTGGAAACTACAGATGCTTATTAGACAAAAAGCATTTCATCCTTCTAAGTCATGGATCTCTTTCATTCCTCTTCCACAAGACTACTCATTCCCCCATGTTTTCCTGGTCAATGAAACACATTCGCACATTTTTTAAAGAAGCAGCTATTTTACTACAAATCATAAATTGTAAGGGATGTGGTGGGTACTGTTATGCTCTATTGCTGAGAATGTAGAGGAGATCAAAGTGCCTGGTTTCGAATCCTGCTTCTACCTTTTACAACCTTGGACAAGATACCAAATTCCTCTTTGACTAGTTGCATCATTTGTAAAATGGAAATAACGATAGTGTCTACCCATAGTTTATTGTGAGGATTAAATGAGAAAATACATATCAAGCATACTTGCCTGGTGCATAATAAACACTGTACAAATATATGCGATGATGGTGGTAATGATCAGACAATCTGACAGCATCTATCCAAAGAAGAAATGTCCATTTCCTGTGACTGAGCAATACTGGTTCTAGGAATGTGTTCTACAGGAATAATAAGTCAAGTATTTAAAGATGGGTACAAGACTATTCATTGCTGCTCACAACAGTGAAACCTTAGAAACAGCCTGCATGTCTCTAAAGAAATGTTGGTGAAATAAATTATGGTACATTCATACAATGAAAATTTTGAAGACAAAACAGTGTAATAGTTCTGAATATAGGCTTTGACTGTAAACTTCAATGAGCTAAGGCTTCTCCCATCTCTCTCAGAATATCCTGAGTTCTTCCTAGACCTTTCTTCCTTGCTTTTCAATTGTATCAATCAGCTATTGCTCTATAGTAATTTCAAAATGTTAGTGGCATACAATAGTAAGCATTTATTTCTCACTTGAAGTTTGCAGGGCAGCTGGAGCAGCTCTGCTTTAGGCTGCAATGGCCAGGACAGCTCTGCCTCACAATATAGCTGGCTAGCTAGAGCATGTTCTTGTCATGACGATAACAGAAGCACAAGAGGGTGAGAGACAATATGTAAAGATTCCTAAAGTCTAGGTTCAGAATTAGCACAATGGTGTTTCCACCCACATTTCATTGGCCAATGAAAGTCACATGGATGAGTCAAAGCCAAGGGTCAAGGAAGTACCCTCAGCCTCTCATGAGGCTGTGGAAATAGTGTAGTTTCAGGGAGAGATGAGAAATTGGGGCCAGTAATTCAGTCTACAACATTATATGTCGCCATTTTTAATTCTCAATCAGTGTGAGATTGCTACCTAAGTCCTTTTGCACTCATTGGACTCATCCTAGTTTCTGTTTAGTTTTCTTTCTCTCTTAACAGAATACCTAAAAATCTCTATATCTTTACAACTCTGCCTCAGGTTCCAGCTCACTTTAGTAGTGGAGAGCTTCCCACCTGTACTCTGAAACTCCCTTCTTCGGGATATTTTTGCTGATATATATATACATATGCTATTTTTCATCTCTACAGCATTTACATTAATCATTTGATTCCCCTGGATTTAGCCAAAATAAACATCCCAAATTCATAATGTCTTTCAGAGACATGGCTCTTTTTTTAAACTGAAATGAGAAATGGATCCTGCATGTGTTCCCAGAGGAAGAGAGGCTGGTTTGTATTAGGGGAATTCTTGCAGATTAGTAACTCTTCAGATGCCTCTTACAGGCTGCTATAGAATAATCTGGATTCAAATGATCAAGCTTTGGAGGCAGTAGCCAGGTTTTGAACCAATTTTTAAAATGGAGATTTGCATATTCTAGCCCCAAGACACAGAATTGGTAGAGGGAAGATATAGTCAGGATAGAATGCCAGTAAAACTTTAACCCCTTCCTTGGTTTCTTAGAGTTTCATAAACCCAAAACCCAGAGTTTCGAACTGGGAGAGATGGGCCGAGAAGTATGAGAATGGGGGAGAGCTTGCTCCGAGAATTAAGAATATACTTCCCAGAAAAAGGAACATAATGAAAGCAGTCAGAAGTGACAATTTCATTCCTCTTTTCTAATCTTGGCTCCAGGGCCCTCGGCAGAAACCTCTTTCATGTCTTGCATGTTAACAGGATTTCACTGCTCCCATCAGCTCGGAGATAACATGTGGCTCTTGACAGCTCTGTTCCTTTGGGGTAATTTGGGCTTAGAGGGGGTAGCTAGAAGGGTACAGGCTCTGGTTCTGGGAACTCAGGATTTTTTTGTCTTCCTTTAGTATACTAGGCTACAACTCATGAGTATGGAGACAACTGCATCTGTGCGTCTTGGTTTATTGGTGCTTATTATATCAAAAGGATGAGAAGGGAGACTCTGAGTAACATTAAGCCTACAGCACCATGTCAAAATAAAGCCTTGTCAACAACCAGCCATGGGCTCTTCAGTACCGCTGTACCTGATTTGGGGAAAGTGGGTAGAGAGAAACTCAGGAGACCAAAGCTGGCCTACAGAAGACAGAGTGTACATTAATTCTGTCTCCACAATTCTCCCTTCCTTGTCGTCTCCCCCTGACCAACTGATGTCTCTATTCTCTGGTCTCTTACAGTTCCAGTTGGTGGGCAAGATGGTGAGTAATGTCTAACTCAACTTCTCTTCCTTTGCCACGTTGCTGCTTCCAAAGGCTGGGTCCCCTTATCGTGAAGAAGAAAGCATAGGGAGAGAATAGAAAGGAGAAAGTTTTATAAATTATGTCAGATCTCCTATATTGAGTATAATTTTGATAAAATCCTGGTTTTTAAGGTTTCTCTCTAAGATTTTTCTGGATCAGTCCCAACCTCTGAACTAAATGCCTAAATCTATATAAAATAGCAGGAAAGGGCCAGAATTGCAATAATGCAGAGGTAGCTCTGCTGGGTTTGCCAGCATCCCTCCAGAAAGTTCCTTTTAGAAGAAAGCTCAGTACATTTTTGTTCCTCAGAGAGAATCCAGCAGGTAAGCGAAGGATTCAAAGTGAGGAATTTGAACCTCGATTTCCACTGCAGATGCTAAGTAAGGCCTGATATTAACCCTAAGAGACAGTATAGCACAGAGGATAAGAAAATCGGCTCCAAGCAGTTTGCCCTAGTTTGAAACCCTGCTTCCTTGCTGACCAGCAATGAACCTAAATTAGTCATTTGTTTCTCGGGAACCCAAAATCTCCAACGCACAGATGCAGATTTAATGACATCAACAGAGCTCTCTGTAGTAGGGTCTGGACACTCTTAATGGCTGGCTTTTGTAGGTTTCCACTCACCAATTTTTCAATTTAATCTAAATATACATTTTTGTCGTTGTGGCATCCGCAAAACTTTACCAGTTGCTGAGACTTCCCTTTTATTCCACTTGTTCTTTTTGTTTTAATCCCAAAGCAGACTCCACAAAGGCAGTGATCACCTTGCAGCCTCCATGGGTTAGTGTATTCCAAGAGGAAAATGTAACCTTATGGTGTGAGGGACCCCATCTGCCTGAGGACAGCTCTACACGGTGGTTTCTCAACGGCACAACCATTCAGACCTTGACCCCCAGATACAGAATCACTGCTGCCACTGTCAATGACAGTGGTGAATACAGGTGCCAGACAGGTCTCTCAGTGCCAAGTGACCCTATACAGCTGGAAATCCATAGAGGTAAGTATGGCATGGAGCAGGAGGGCTGGAAATCACGAGGTCTTCCTTTGTTTTCTCCTTTCTGGTTGCCAGAGGTGTGTGTGTCGATTTATCTGAGTATGAGTCTCAGCTCTATGTGCCTACCAGGTGAAATTAGGTCAAGATGCTCAAAACATCACATTAGGGTGTTTGAACTGTGCCCCAACAGCACCTCAACTGGGGCAGCTGTATGTAGGGTATCTAGAGTAAAACTCAGACCCTAACATTTTGTTATTCAAAATTATGTAGTTTTGTTGGAAACAAGTAGGCTTGCACATAGTAAATAATAATTCAGACAAATGTACAATGATGAACAATGAAATCTTTCTCCCACTCAAAACCCTAGTCCCACGGTCACCTTCCACAGGAACGAAACTGTTTATATATAAACTTTTTTAAAAAGTGGTTGTAGAATACTCTATATACTGTCTCACATCTTAGTTTTACCACTTATAATATCTTGGAGATCTGTTTATATCAACAGAGATCTACCTCATACTTTCAAATGGATGTGCTATCATTGATATAACCATTCTGCCCATTAGTAAACTTCCAGTGTGTTTTCTGTCCCTTCACTTTTAGGAACAATGCTGCAATAACATCTTTATACTTATAGTATGGGGTACGTTTCGTGGTATATCTGTAAGAGAATATTCTGGGCATAGAATTACTATGAGACTTTAGGTCTTTTAAGCCATGATAAACAGAAGCAGGAAAAAACCCCCACCATCTACTTAAATCTGCAAGTAGTTTCCCTTTGTCAAGAGATGGAAACTGCAACACATTTTAGGGCAAAATGTTTCAATACCCAGGACAAACCATTCGAATGGATTATTTAGTTATTCAAAAGCAATAAGCTAAAACTTTTTTGTAATTGATAATGCAAAAGTTAATCCATGCTGGAGGCAGGATTAGATTTATGCAGACTAGGAGATTAATGCTTTTGAAGGAAATGTGTTTTAGCTAAGAAAATGTTGAGAATGTCAGAGAAAATGCTAGGTGTTTCTCATGTGTCTCTTAGGACTCCAGGAATCAGTTCCTAGGCTGGAGAGGTTAGGGGAGCTGACGGAACTGTTTCAATAAGAGACTTTGTGTAGTTGGAGGAAAAGCAGAAGTGTTTCATGGTTCAAGTGAAAAAAACGAACTAGGACCGGAAAGAGGCCATTTTCTTTGCCTCTGCCTAGACTCTTGAACTCCCAGCATTGGTGACTTATTGAGAATATCTTTTACATTATTTTTTACATTGTTATATATTATATTATTACATTATATATCTTTTTAAGTTATATTTTACTGTGAATGTTTATTAAGGTATAACACACAACAAATCTTAAATGTATACCTCAGTGAATTTTCACAAAGTAAACAGCCGCCAGATCAAGAAATAGAACACTTCCACAATCACAGAAACTCCTTCTTGCCCATTTCTAGTCACAACCCCCCAAGGCAGCATAACAGCATAGCATTTTGCCCATGTTTTAACTTCATATAAACGGATGCAGTGTGGTACACTTTGTACTCTTTTGTGTTTGGCTTTTCTCATGCTGATTGTGAGATTCTTACATAACGTGAAGTTGCAGTTCATTTGCTCTCATTACTGTATAATTTTCCATATTTATCTGCTCTATTGATGGACTCTTGGGTTGTTTCCAGTTTGGGCATCTTAGAAATAGTACTGCTGTGGATATTTTTTGTACTTCTCATTTAGTGTACTTATGGACACAATTCTGTTGGAATATGCCTAGGAGTGGCATTGCAGGATCATAAAATATGCATATATTCAGGTTTAGTTTTCCAAAGTGCTTATACCAAATTACATTCCCACCAGCAGAGTGTGAGAGTTCTGATTTCTCCTTATCCTCATCAATACTAGGTATTTCCAGTTTTTTTCATTTTAGTCATTCTGGTGCATGTGCAATAGTATCATATTATGGTTTTAATATGCACTTCCCTGACAACTAGTGATATTGAGCATTTTTCACACGTTTATTACCTTTTGGATATTCTCTTTTGTAAAATGCCTATCAGGGGTTTTTGCTAATTTTTTTTTTACTGCCGTCTGCCTTTTCTTTATTGACTTGTAGGAGTTCTTTATATATTCTGGATATGAGTCTTTTGGGAAGTGTTGTAAATATCTTCCACTTTGTGGCTTGCCTTTTTGCTATCTCTTGTGTTTTTTAATTTTTTCGGGGAACAAAAGTTCTTAATTTTACTACAGTACAATACATCAAGTTTTTTGGTTGGTGCTGTCTATACCCTATTTTAAAAATGTTTTGCCAAGGTTAGTCAGCAGTAGAGGATTTCATTTGAGCTACGCTAATTCTCAGTCACTTTAATTAAATATGTGTATGTTGAGACCAAGAAAATACAGCTGATTTGTGGACCCAAGTCCTAATCTGGAGTAGAATGAGTGCCCCCATTCTACTCCAAGGTGATGAAGATGGGGAGAATGGTTTTTGAGTAGGAAATTAGTGATGTCGGCTACAAGCTGCATCCCACAAGTTTTAATATGTAATATTCCCATTATCTCTTAAAGCTAGATATTTTTAATTTCCATGATAATTTTTTTTTACTCATTAATTATTTAGAAGTGTTTTTGGAGGTTGGCTTTTTATTATTGATTTGTAATTTTATGGCATTTTGGTCAGAATTTGTATTAAATATGATATGAGTTCCTTGGTATTTGTTGAAAATTGCTTTGTGGCCTAGTATGTGCTTAGTTCTTATAAATGTTACATGGTGTTTGGAAAGTATATGAATTTTCTCTTTCTAAGGTACAGCATTCTATATAAATCCACAAATCAACTCTGTTAATTGTGTCATTCAATTATGTTGTATCATTACTAGTATTTTGGACAGTTTCTGTTGGAGGTATGTTAAAATGTGTGGATGTATAAAGCAAAGGTGTCTGTGTGTTTGGGCAGTCCAGTCTTTGAGCACCTCTTGGTTGGGAACAGGAATAAGGGAGGAAAGAGTATTCATTATATTTAGAAGCTCAATGGCAGCATCCAAGACTATAAAGATCATACAGCACTGGAATGCCTGCCTTCCGTTCTTAGATAAGCTCTGGAGGGGGAAAAAGCACTGCTGTCTCTTCTACTCTTTTGTCCTTTAAGAACTTCATCCTTCTTTAGCCAAACCAAGTGCTCCAAAGAAAGAAAAAGTGAAGGAGGCATTTTTGGTTATGTGTAGAGGTGTACATCAAAAGGGAGGGCCCATTTGACTTGGAGCTTGTTTTTACCAGCTGTATCACTGATGTGCACATATGTGAGTGTTTCTATCAACTTAGTAGCATATATTCATCTGGATATGGTTGCCACTCTGTGTGTTTGTCTTAGTATGTGTGATCCCATTAACAAATTTGTCAGGAGTTAGAATGTATTAGTTTCCTGTTACTGTGTAACAAATTGCCACAAACTTAGCAGCTTAAAACAACAGATGTTTACTATCTTTCCATGAGTTAAGAGTCCCAGCACAGCTTTGCTGGGCGCTCTGTCAAGGTCTTACAAAGCTGCAATCAGCATATTGACTGGGCTGTGCACCTTCCTGCAGCTCTTCCAAGCTCGTGTAGTCATTGGCAGAATTTTGCTCCTCATGGTTGTAGGACTGAGGTCCCCACCTTCTTGCAGGCTGTTAGCTGGGAGCCAATCTCAGCTCCTAGATGCCCCCTGCCAAATGGCCATCACAGGCCCTCTCACAACATGGCAGCTTGCTTCCTTAAGGCCAGCAGGAGACTCTCAGTCTAGTCTGCTAAGACAGTCTTATATAATGTAACATAATCATGGGAGGGACATCCCATCACCTTTGTCATATTTTGTTGGCTAGAAGCTAGTCATAGGTTCCACCTACACTCAAGGGGATTATGCAAGAGTCTGACTCATTGGGGTCATCTTAGAATTCTGTCTACCACATGGAGTAGACTGTTTTTGTCCCAAGCAACTTCTGCTATCTGGAAAGGGAAGACAAGAAGGGGCTGTGTATACAGCTGCTGGTAAAGAATACTTTTCTTCCCAGCAAAGCTAAAGATATTTGAGGAATGGGAGACAGGCCTCCTATTCAGCAGAGCTCTGAGGCTGGAATGTTGCAAGGAGAAAAAGATAAGAAAGGCACTGGGTCCAGCTTTGGCCTCCTTGTACCTCTACCACTTGAAAATTGTTTTGTGGCCTAGTACCTCTACCACCGTCTACGTGTATTTGGGCCCATGTTTTTCAGATTGGCTACTACTCCAGATCTCTAACAGAGTTTTCATCGAAGGGGATCCTCTGGCCTTGAGGTGTCATGGATGGAAGAATAAGCTGGTGTACAATATAGTTTTCTACCAAAATGGCAAAGCCTTTAAGTTTTCTCCGCAGGATTCTGAATTCACCATTCTGAAAACCAACCTGAGTCACAATGGCATCTATCACTGCTCAGGCATGGGATGGCATCGCTACACATCAGCAGGAGTATCTATCACTATAAAAGGTATGGTATCTGAATAGTCATAGAGCTGTTGTTGTGAGGACCAGACGAACCATCATAAATCATTGCTTCAATTTGCAAGTAAAGAAACGGAGGCCTTACTGAAGGCCACACAATGACCACCGGCTGGGCCAGGACCAGAACTGAGGTCTTCTGGGTCCCAGTCCATTGCCCTTTCCAGTATACCATCAATAATCACAGGAGCTAATGTCAAGGCCAGGACATAGTGAGCATCCATTTCATCAATTTCATTTTAGTTGCATGGAATAGAGACTCCCTCAAGGTCAGTAGGAGAGATATTAGAAAATAACCCAATGGAATCTCATAAAAGCTCCATAGAAACAGAAGCCAGGAAGACATTAGGACTTGGTTATATGTACTTTCCATCTATCTCTCAGGGAAAACGTGGCCTCTCTGGTTCCACCTCTCTCTGAGCATCTGCTAATTAAGCAGCTTCCTTTGTTCCAGTTTGCACGTGGCCCTTGTTGTGACTCTTTCGTGGCCTTTCATCTTAGTACTCACAACTACTAGCAACTTTTTTCTGACTGAAAAATAGTTCATTTCCATGGGAAATAAATTATTGTCCCAGATTGTTTTTTGAGGCTTGAACACAGTCATGAGTCACTGACCTGGCTAGTGTGTGGGCCAGTGTCCACTCTTAGACAACTATTACTAAAAGGGCATGGTAATACAATAAATAACATGGCTATTCAGGGAAGTATGGACTGTGTACAGGTACTCTCCCCAGTAGGATGTGAGCAAGCTGGCAACTATCTCTATGAGGAAACCCCAAGAATGCCTCTCTGCTAGAAGTGGGAAAAAATGTATGTTATGGATGCATTCTCTAAGAGCAGGTTTCCTGAAGGGAGAGGGGATATATACTCTGCAAAAGAACCTTGACACTGAGGCAGCCAACCCTGTCCGTGTCAACTTTTTCTTTAGAGCTATTTCCAGCGCCAGTGCTGAGATCCTCCTTGTCATTCCCGCTCCTAGAGGGGAATCTGGTCAACCTGAGTTGTGAAACCAAGTTGCTCCTACAGAGGCCTGATTTGCAGCTTTACTTCTCCTTCTACGTGGGCAGCAAGACCCTGATGAGCAGGAACACATCCTCTGAATACCAGAGACTAACTGCTAAAAGAGAAGATTCTGGGCTATACTGGTGTGAGGCTACCACAGAAGATGGAAACGTCATCAAGCGCAGCTCTGAGTTGGAGCTTCAAGTGCTTGATGAGTGAGCATGATGGGAATTGACTGGCACAAGAGAGGATGCTCCGTTTTCTCCTATGAGACTGAGGTCTGTTCAAGGGGATTTCATGGCCCACCTAGGAAAAAACCATCAACAGGCCTTTCCACTCTTGATTCAGAACTTCACTATTCTCCTCATAAACTTCATTAAATTTCCTTTCCTTTCTTTTTCTTTCATTTCATTTCCTTTCTTTCCTCCATTTATTTCCTTCTTTTTGTCCTTCCTTCCTTCTTTTCTTTTCTTCTCTTCTTTATTTTCTATTTTTTCCAGTCTCTCTCTCCTCCCTCTCCTCTCTCCTCCTCTCTCTCTCTCTCTCCCCCTCTTCCTCCTTCCTTACCTCCCTCCTTCTCTACCCTCTCTCTCACCAACAATCTAATCAACAATATATTGAGTTCCTCCTATCTACTGTCACAGGTATGGGGATATAAAGACCCTGGGGTGCAGTTCTTACTTCAAGGAGCTCTCATGGTGGTGAGACAGAGATTTTGTGGGTTGCACATAACTACTTGTCCAAGTGTCTATATTTGGCTGAGGTGGAAGTATTATAAGCTCTAGAAAAAAAATTGTTTAGGAAAAAAGCTTGTCTTTAACCCAAATTTATTTCAAGCATTAAATGGCATGGAAATAGCAGTTGTCTGAGACTAAGGAGTAAGGCCGCTGACAGGGCCCTGGCAGTTAGGCTCTTATGAGGAGCCTGCCCCCAGTCCGTACACCATAGCCCAGCTAGACCTACCTCCAGCTCCTTCCTGCCCCCTGAAATTACCAGTGTCTCCACTGGGAGCTGGCATATCAGGTCCCAGCCAACCTCCTCTTCCAAATATAACTCAAACACATCCCTCCGGCTTCTAGAAAGCATTTCTTCTCTTTGTCATTTTCTGTTTCAGGCCTCCAGTCACCAACTTCTGTCTGGTTTCATGTCCTTTTCTATCTGGCAGTGGGAGTAATATTTTTGGTGGACACTATTTTCTGTACGATAATACATAAGGAACTTCAAAGACAGAAAAAGTGGAATTTAGAAATCTCTTTGGGCTCTGGTCATGAGAAGAAGGTAACTTCCTACCTTCAAAAAGAAATACAGTCAGAAGAAGAGCTGAAATGTCAGCAATAAGAAGAACAGCTGCAGGAAAGGACACTCCAGAAGAAGCCCCCGGAGGGAAAGAAGAAGCGGCAGCTTAGTGGGTGCCCAGACATCTAGACAGTCCCTCCCCCTTCCTCTCTGGGTAAGCACTGGGGCACAAACATCCACAAGTTGAAAGACACTAGAACTGTGAGTCCCATGTCATCTAACTCTTAAATAAAGCAAATAAATAAGCTGACTTCAATGAAGACAAACTTGGAAATTTGGTGAGCAAGGGTGATTTGAAGTGAGACTTACTCTAAAGTAATCTTTAAAAACTTCGAAGTCAAGTCTAACCTAATTATCCTATTAGGTAGTTTGAGTAATATATTTTGGGGGACAGGGTTAAAAGATAAGTGTATGCATATGTGTAAGAAATTAAGACAGAGAAAGAGAGAGAGAATGGGAGGGAGTACGAGGAGACAGAGAAAGAGAAAGAGAGGCTATGAGGCAGACAAGAGGGAATAGTACAGACCAAAAAGGAAATATCACTTACAAATGAATTCTGAGAGACCCTGAGAATGAGAGAGCTCACACCTTGGCAGTGCTCAGGAACGTGCTTACTTCACGGCTTTTCTCTTTTAATACAATGTGCAGGGAATGCATCCATGCATCTTACAAGAGATACAAGGGATTAACTCACGATGAGAAATAGGTGCATCATTTTTGCCCTTTCATTTGAGGCTTTCTCATAACCTTTCTGTGTGCAGAGACACCAGGGGTCCTGCTTGTCTGTCCCAGTCTCTTGCCCTATAGGAAGGCAGAATGTAACTACTGCTTTCCTTGATAAATCAAACCCAGATCTCCGAGATGGCACAGCAAGGAGAAATTTCAAGCAGAGAGGAGCAGTGAAATCATAAAGCCCCAGCTCTTACCTCCAGAGGTCTACTTTACCCTTCTGATTTTCTGGATGATTACTAACTAGCTTCAAGATACACTACTGTCCCCCTTGGGCTCTACTTGGGAGACAGAATATTTTTCTGCTACTCTATAACACAGCTGAGATAAAACTGAAATAGGTGAATAAGACTTTACTAAAACTTAGAAAAAACAAAAAGGGGTATACACTAACCTAGCAACATGATTCTAGATTATTTGGCTTAAAAAATGCAGCTTATCTTCCAAACAAGGATGCATCCCTGCCTAGCCTCTGTCCTGGCTCCACATGGCAGGGCTCACCTTTAGTACTCACCACCTACAAGCACCCTCAAGCAACTTGGAACTTGAAGTAGATGGAAGAGCACCTTAGCCCGCTGCTTCCCTAGTCTGCGGACAGTGAGAATGTTCTTCTCCCCTTCATCTTCAAAAAAAAGTACAACAATTATCATCTTAATAGAAGTGCAATAACTCCAACATTTGTATTAAAAGAAATTATCATATATAATAGCAGGAGTTTCATTGCTTGCACATAATGTTTGGTCTTATGGACTGGGGAAACAGGGAAATGAGAATTGCAGGGGACGAATCCCACAGGAAAGAGGCCCAAAGCCCCTCTGTGGAAGGACTGCCTGTAGAAGATTCTAGCCTGAGGAATGGGGAATTGAAGCAGGAAGTGGCATTCCCACCCAGAGGAGAAAGCTCTGCCTACCCTCACAGGGTGGACAGAATTTCAGGGAAAGTGCTTCCTGGGGACAAAAGGTTGGGGCAGACATGGACGTAGGCAGAGCACTGAGGTGAAGCTGGAATGGAACCAGTCATTGCTGAAGCATCACAAAGTGCTTCCTCCTTCCCCACTCTCTTCTTTTGTGCTTTCTCTCCAGATTTTTCCATGCATATATCTTTGTCATAATTTTTTCTCATAAGTACGTTAATACTTAAATAATTGATTTTACTAACACAATTTCATAATTGAGTAAGTTGTACTTCAGTCTACCCTTATTTCTGGCTTACAGCTTGCCAGGAATAGGTTCTTGGGTCCCCCAAATTAAGGCCTACCTGCTTATCACCCTAGCTTTGGTGCTGGGTCTGGTCAAGGCCTGGTAACACCTCATACTTCTCCTGGCAGGTGCTCAGCCCTCCAATTTCCCTATAGGGCTTGGATGCCTCTCTGGCACTTGCCCCTGTCTATCTAAGAGCTCACTCCTCTTCATTTTTATTCCATCCTCTCCTGGAAACACAAACAGAAATCACTGGATCCCACTGGGGAGAGAGGCCCAAAGGACCCCGGATCCCTTCTTTGCTCACCATCCTCCATTCTTGGGGAAAGCCTGTATATGTAGGCAGGGGGTGGGTGTGGTTAATAACTCCATTTGGGGACCAGGAAACCATGGGAAGGAACATGAAATCTTCTCTAGGTCTGCTCTAGAGACAAATTAACAGGTACCCACAGGGAAACTTTTAGAAAGAGATTACAAAGATGACTCCATGTCTTGATACCACAATCAGCTTAGGATGCTGTTCTTGGTGCCCAGTGTTTTCAGTACCTCTCTTAGTCATTCCCTAAGGTGCTAGCTGCCCCAAGAGTGTCATAAACATCAACCACTAGTGGATATGGTACCTATGCCTGCTCTTTCCCCAGGAAACTACATGGGGTAGCTGTTGGAACACTTAACTGGTAGCAGCTTTTACTTACTGGAGGATACGAGAAATCTGTTTTACCAATCCCCTTTAGAAAATAAATTAAAAACCAAGTTAAAGCTCCAGATCATGTACAACAGAGTTGTTTGACCACCACTTGGTCCATTAATAATAACTTAATGCATGGTTACATGTCCAAGGCTTATAATCAGATGTATCTTGTTAAACAAAGCCAACTGGTATTTTACCATTCATAAGAAAAAAAATTCTAATAATATTACTTAAATCTTTCAAGACTTAATATTTAAACAAAAATATCCATAATCTTAACATCATCGGCACAATCAAGCTCTTATGTGTTTTTAACACAATGCTCTTTTTAGAATAGCTGAGAACATTTCTCAAACATTTAACATTAAATTATCTATTTTTTAAATTTTATTTATTTATTTATTTTTTTGAGGAAGATTAGTCCTGAGCTAACTGCTGCCAATCCTCCTCTTCTTTGCTGAGGAAGACTGGCCCTGAGCTAACATCCATGCCCATCTTCTTCTACTTTATACGTGGGATGCCTACCCCTGCAGGGCATGCCAAGCAGTGCCATGTCTGCACCCGGGATCTGAACTGGCTAAACCCAGGCCACCGAAGCGGAACGTGCACGCTTAACCACTGTGCCACCAGGCCGGCCCCTAAATTATCTATTTTTAATACTGGAGAAAAGAGTAGATGTAAGGATACTGGAATTGGATGACTATAGCAAAGCACCGTTGATGCTCTGCAGAAAGATAATGAACAACTGAGGGTAACAAGCAGCTGAAAACCAGAGGACCTCTTTGGCTGCCTACGAAGAAGCTCTCATCTCCTGGAAAGTGGAATGCCAAAGAAAGCCAAGGACTGAGGCTGGGCATAAGTCCAAGGGGGAAACTTCACAGGTCTGTGGTCAAGGCCCTGGTTGGGAGAACCTGGGACCCTGATACATGAAACCTCTTGGCAGATGCCTCCAAAAATTTTGACCCCCCCCTCAATGGTCCTAACCCTTTTGAGCCTGCAAAAGTGGCCCACACTGCTCTAGTAAGAGCCAGCACTCCCCCAGCTAGAATAAAATGCAGAGACTTCTCTCCAACAAGGCAACAGATGCCCCCCTCAGGATCTGTCCCCATCTCTCCCCCTAGCCACTAAGGCTACATAAAGGGTTAAGTCACAGAATAATGCAGCTGGAGCCCAAGAGAAAAAGAAAGAGCTACAAAGCCCAGCCTCTATTTACCCGCAGAAGCCTGGAGAAATGCAGGGGACTGGATTCTAAGGGTACTTCACCAAGGGGACCAGGACATAAAATTGGATAGGAAAAAGTTTATTGACTTGGGAGCTCTCTCCTAAGTTACAGTGTTTAACACCATCACAAAGACCCCAGGAGTCCATGCTAACTCATTACTAGGACAGCACCTAGAAGTTTGCAAAAAGTTATGGCCCATGCTGAGAGAAGTTGAAATGTCAGTTTGGTAAGGGAAAATAGTGAAGGAAGAGATTAAATGGCTTAAGAAAGTGGGCATGCTGGACTGGGTATACTTTTTATGGCCAGAGATCTACCTGATGATTATGTTCCATGGAAGAGCCCAAAGGAAACACCATTTACCAAGGCAATATGGAACATCTGGTGAGAAGGATATAAGAAATCTCTTAAAAGTTCAGTAGAGGCTCTCCTACGAACTCCTATGGGCAGGGCTGAGGGTAGGAGAGAAAGTCATGGAATCTGGCTCACTGATAGCAATGGAGATGATAAGACTCCAAAACAATAAAGACCAGGTGGTAGTGCCTAACAACCAGAAACCAGAGAACCACAGTTATTGTAATGACCAACAAGGTCAGAGTGGCATCTGAGAAAGCCTGACCTACAGAGAGTTAAAGAAATGATTAATAGGGCATGGTATCCCTATAAGCCCAATATCCCTATAAGCCCCTGTTGATTGGCACTTCACAAGGATATTACTGAGTTTCTACCAACAGAAGAAATCAAGACCGAACAACCGGGAGGCTGAGGTCAGTTTTCATATCCAGAACCCATTAATTGAAGAGATGTCCGGATCCCCAGGATAAAAGACCCTGCAACAGCATGGCAAGTATAACCCCGTTGTTTACTCATGTAAATCTGCACTGGAGAAAGAGAAATGCCTTTACATTTTGTGAACTACTGAACCCAGACTTTGAGCTGACAATGATACCTGGAGAACCAATGTATCATCACGGACTTCTTCTTGTTAGAGTGGAGGCATTCTTCTTGTTAGAGTGGAGGCATATAGAGTCCAGGCAATAAATAGAGTCCTGGCCAAGGTCTAGCTTACAGTAGGTCTCCCCAGTGGTCATTTCCCTGGTCCCTGAATGTATAATTGGGATTGACATACTTGGTAGTTGATACAGTTACCACACTGGGTCCTTGATCTGTGGGATAAGAGCCATCACAGGAGGGAAGGCCAAGTGGAAGCTTCTGAAACTACCCCCCAACCCCAAACAAGAGAGCGAATCAAAACCAATACTGTATACTGAGGTTGATGACAGAGATTAATGACATCCCTAAAGATCTAAAGCAGCATTGTCCAATAGAACTTTCTGCAATGATAGAAATATCTTGTATCTGAGCTATCCAATACAGTAGCCACAGCCACATGTGGTTATTGAGCACTTGAA